GCCAAGAGGAAAACCGTTGCGCCACTTTGGGGGTCCTTCAAAAACACACCCAAACGGAGCTTCAGGGTCTTACTGCCTGGTGACTTGATCCGGGGCAGTGACCCTTTATTTGAGCCAACTCTTCGCCGTTTCTGAAAAGCTCGGGGCTTGCGCGTGATGTTTTTGCGTCTCAAGATTAGGAAAGAAGTGAAAACCAGTTGGGTGTGGCTCAAAATTAAAGGGCTGGGGTTACGCGGGTTTAGTCTTTGTTTCCATTTAAGGGGCCATTGTGGGTACAACGTTTTGAGCCACAGCCAGTTGTTCATGCCCAGATCATGTTGGTATTTGACTCTGGTGTGCGGCGTGGCAACAGCCTCCTATATCCTCCTGTGGCGTCGAGCAAAGGGAAACCTGTCTCGCGACGCGGAGGTTGCACAGCAGGGGGAGGCGCAGTGGAGCTTTTTGTGGGGCCAGCCGTGCCCAAGCGCATACCAACTAGAAATCCACCAGGAGCAGCACCATGGGGATGTTTGCCGGATGAAAGATGCCAGCTTCGTATGCCCTTATGGCTGCCAGAGACAGAGGCGGGCACCTTGGTGCGCGCTCAGGGCCAAGGTCAAGTGCAAGGCTGACTTAGCGCTTGCGCGATTTCGGGAGGGACTCTTGCCCTCACAGACCCCTGGACGAATTCATACCTTTTATGAGCCTGCCTGGAATGGTGGTGACACAACCGGCACTTTGGCAGGTTGGAAGAAGGCATGGACAGATGCTGGCTGGGAGACGCGTGTGTTGACCGTAGAGGATGCGAAGCAGTCTCCAGAGTTCGAGAACGTCAACCGGCGCATCGACCGCATTCCCCGCGGCGGCAATGCGGAGTACGAGAGGCTGTGCTACCTACGCTACTTGGCGATGAGTGCGGCCGGAGGAGGATGGATGTCCGACATGGATACTGTGCCAACTCGCTTGTCCCCAGACATTGGCTTGCCCAATCATGGGGCATTTACTGTATATGCTAACTTTATACCTGCCCTGGTGTCTGGCAATTCTACGGAATACCTTAAAATGGCGCTCACTTTGACTGACCTGGGCCTTGAGCAGATGGGGCACAAACGCTTGTACAGCGATATGTTCGCCCTGAAGGATTTGCAGTCCCGCTTGCCAGATGCTTACGTCCCCTTCCAGATGGTTGCTGCCATTGAAGACCTCGTGCCTGGTCATTGGTCGGAGGACAATCTGCAATGCGAACGACTGCTCACCTTCTCCTTTGCAATCCATTTGTCTCACGAAGCTTTTCTGATTTGGAATATGTCGATCGACCGCCGAGGGGATGTGATGGCTGAAGCGAGGCGGCACTGGAAAGTATGCAGGGACCAACAGAGCCTCCAAGAGGCTGCTGTGAATTTTACGTGACACTTACCGACAGGGCGAAAGAGAGCTTGCTCTCACTCGCGGGAGTTGGCTGGACATCCGAGTCTCTTGCAAGTGATGCAGGGACATGGCAATGTCAAGACACCCCCACGCCTGGGAGCTAAGTGTGGGGTGTTGAACAATCAAGTATGGTCCATCCCTTTTTGGTGCGATCTACGGGAAATTATACCAGTCTATTTAGAACACAGATGTGGTTGGTCCTTACCACGCTTCACAGAGTTGCTGCACTACGTTTCCAGACAAGGAAGCAAGCTGCGAGCTCCACAGCTATACTTAGCCATAAAACCAACGTCAATCAGCATTTGGTTACTTGAGACTACCATCACCTGACTAAACATGTGTGGCGGGCCCAGGGGGACTTGCATTTTTATCGCTCGGGTGTTTCCATACGGTGGATGGACGAAATCCTGCACCATATAAGAAACCCTGGTGTCTGATGGTTCCCCTGCAAGAATGGTTCAACCTTGGTTTCAAACTGGTGCGAAATGGATTTTGCAACCATCCACAGTACTGGGGTCATTATTTTGATGGTTTCTGGTGGTTATCAAAGTCAGAAAATAGGGTTGTTTCCCTTTAACCCACCACTTAGGGGGTGACTTTGATCATGGTAAAATAATGAAGCCTGCTTGGCAACTGTGAGTTTTGGTTCGGGGCACCTCGCCCCTCCGACCCACATTTCGCTTGTTTGGACCATGGCACAGGTGTCCTTTGCTGGCAAAGGGAAACCCAAGGGGAGCCACTGATTTGGGAAAGGATTGGGCTTCCCTTGCCGCCAGCTCTTCATTCCTCCCCCCAAAATCTCGGGGGGGGCGGGGGGTCGGCGGTTGGACAACGAGGAAACAAATTTAGCCGCGGGGGCTGCGACAGCCAGCCCCAAACCGCCCAACCGCACCGCCAAACCGACCCCAAAAGACGCCCCGAAGGCTTCGGCCCGGCGTCGGGTTGCTCCCGAGGCGCTGCTGCAGCGCCACGAGGGCCATGCGGCGGAGGTGCAGAGCAGGCGCCGAAGCCGGCGAGGGAGCGAGGGCGAGTGAGGGCATGGATGGAAGGAGCGGTTGGAAGGGCCAAGGCCATTGCAAGGCTTGGTGGGTTGGTGGGTTAGTCGGTTGGTGGGTTGGTGGGTTGGTGGGTTGGTGGGTTGGTGGGTTAGTGGGTTGGTGGGTTGGTTGGTTGGTTGGTTGGTTGGTTGGTTGGTTGGTTGGTTGGTTGGTTGGTTGCTTGCTTGCTTGCTTGCTTGCTTGCTTGGTTGGTTGGTTGGTTGGTGGGTTGGTGGGTTGGTGGGTTGGTGGGTTGGTGGGTTGGTGGGTTGGTGGGTTGGTGGGTTGGTGGGTTGGTGGGTTGGTTGGTTGGTTGGTTGCTTGCTTGCTTGCTTGGTTGGTGGGTTGGTGGGTTGGTGGGTTGGTGGGTTGGTGGGTTAGTGGGTTGGTGGGTTGGTGGGTTGGTTGGTTGGGTGGTTGCTTGCTTGCTTGCTTGCTTGCTTGCTTGCTTGGTTGGTTGGCGGGTTGGCGGGTTGGCGGGTTGGTGGGTTGGTGGGTCAGTGGGTTGGTGGGTTGGTTGGTTGGTTGGTTGGTTGCTTGCTTGCTTGCTTGGTTGGCGGGTTGGCGGGTTGGCGGGTTGGCGGGTTGGCGGGTTGGTGGGTTGGTGGGTTGGAGGGTTGGTGGGTTGGTGGGTTGGTGGGTTGGTGGGTTGGTGGGTTGGTGGGTTGGTGGGTTGGTGGGTGGGTTGGTTGGTTGGTTGGTTGGTTGGTTGGTTGGTTGGTTGGTTGGTTGGTTGGTTGGTTGGTTGGTTGGTTGGTTGGTTGGTTGTTGGTTGTTGGTTGTTGGTTGTTGGTTGGTTGGGGTTTGGCGTTGGCGGGTTGGCGTTGGTTGGTTGGTTTGGTGGGTTGGAGGGTTGGTTTGGTTTGGTGGGTTGGTGGGTTGGTGGGTTGGTGGGTTGGTGGGTTGGTGGGTGGGTTGGTTGGTTGGTTGGTTGGTTGGTTGGTTGGTTGGTTGGTTGGTTGGTTGGTTGGTTGGTTGGTTGGTTGGTTGGTTGGTGTTGGTTCGTTGGTTCGTTGGTTCGTTGGTTCAATGGTTCGTTGGTTCGTTGGTTCGTTGTTTCGTTGGCTCGTTGGTTGGTTGGTTCGTTGGTTGGTTGGTTCGTTGGTTGGTTGGTTGGTTGGTGGGTTGGTTGGCTGGTTGGCTGGTTGGCTGGTTGGCTGGTTGGCTGGTTGGCTGGTTGGCTGGTTGGCTGGTTGGCTGGTTGGCTGGTTGGCTGGCTGGCTGGCTGGTTGGTTGGTTGGTTGGTTGGTTGGTTGGTTGGTTGGTTGGTTGGTTGGTTGGTGGGTTGGTTGGTTGGTGGGTTGGTTGGTTGGTTGGTTGGTTGGGAGGTTGGTTGGTTGGTTGGTGGGTTAGTTGGTTGTTGGTTGGTGGGTTGGTTGGTTGGTTCGTTGGTTTGTTGCTTCGTTGGTTTGTGGCTGAGTGCGGTTTGATGCCGCGTCATGACATGTGACACAACTCGCAAGCCGAAGCAGAGAGAGAGAGAGAGAGAGAGAGAGAGAGATGGTTCGTTGGTTCGTTGGTTGTTGGTTGGTGGACGGGTGGGTTGGTTTGTTGGCTGGCTGTCTTTCCAGATGCCAAGCCAAACTCGTCCTTTTCAGACGGAAAATGCACGGCACTCACAATGGGGTTCACGGGGCTGCCGTAGATTTTGCAAGGAAAGGGTAACAGAAGGGTAACCCTTGGATTTGCCGCAGTTTATCATGGTATTTGTGGAGGTTCACAAGGGACTCCAATGCCAGACGCTGGCCGAAGGGCTGAAAACTCTTTCCGGAGTCTTTGAGACCCCAAACCCGAAGCGCCAAGGAGCCACTGGACTTTGGGCGTTCCACCCGACAAAATCGCCGGGATGCGGATTCGGCAGGCTGGGGATGCAGAGCCGAGAGATCCAGGCACGGAGCCTTAGGGGAAGGGCGAGGAGGGGAAGGCGTGTGCTTGGAATTTTTTCCCGCCACCGGTTGTCAGGCTGGTTACGTTTTGGGTGCCCCCCAACTTTTGGGGATGCCTTTGAGGAGACCGGAAGGTGAACCATCCATGTAAAGGGCTCGCCATTTGGAGACAACGCCTGGGCTACGCCAGGGATGTTGACCCAGGAATCACTCAATCTAAAACAGTGGCGGTTGCTTCAAAAGGCATACGAGGACCGGAATCAAGCAATCTCCTAAGGTGCATTTCACTCGCCCTATGGGTCAAAGTCCGCTTCTTTAGACCCCTTGTCTAAGCTCGCTTTAAGCATGGGAGTGCTCCTTCTTCGGCGTTTAACAAGTACAAAAAGGGCCTCAGGCGTGACATCCCCATCTCGGGACCGCTGGCATGCGTTGCTTTTATGCGTTGCTTTCCTTTCAGAGATGTATCTTTTCAGTAGCCCAACAGTGCAAGCTGCGACCCAATCGCCCCCTGGCTCTTGGAGTCTTGAGACGGCTGATTGTGTAAACATCGGGTGTCTTGTTTGAGGGTGCCTGTTTGCGGGTGGTTTAAAGGGGATCCTTTTGGAAGCAACCCTATTTCAGGTGTTCCCCCTATAAGACACAGCCAAAGGGCAAGCAAGCCACCATAGTTCAGCTCATTCCATACCCTACTTGTTCAACATTTGTTTTCTTTGCCTTTTTCCCCATGGAGGTTGAGCTACTTGCCACACGGGACAAAGCTCAACCCAAAGGAAGCGTGGTTGGTCTCCAGCGCCACGCAAAAATGGGGGGGGGGGGGGGCTTGGGGGATCCCGCGATGTGAGGACGCGAGTCCGGGAACAGGAAAGGCAAAGCGCGCAACCAGCTGTTGGTGCCCTCAAATCACAGCACACATGGAGTTGGGGGTTTGCCATTCTTGACAGCTATTTGGTTGGGTCTTTAGACTTTTTAACTTTTCGGTTGAAATCAAGGGTTTTCCACCAAACCCCCCAGGAGGTTAAAAACTGGTTGCAGGGGGGTCCTTGCAGCCAAGCATTTTGATACTAGGGTTCGACGGCGGCAGTGGTCAAGCCGCCGCGCACCTTGACGAAGGCCTCAGCTGTTGTGGGGTTCCAGGGGAGGTTCGCCGGATCCCCCCCAACAATTTTTCAGAGCAGGTCGGCTGGACTCGGGTGGACTCGGCTGGAATTTATGGGAACCGTTCAGGGCAGGAAAGAAGTCCACATGTTTGCTGACAACTGTTCAGAGCCGCCCAGAAAAGACACAGACAGTCTCTCTCATCTTCCATAGACTCCCAGAAAAAGTCCACCGTTTGTCGCCCATCTTTTTCAGATGCAGCTGTGGCTGACTCTTCGGCAGGAGATGCAGCGCCAGCTGTTGGACGTGTTGCGGGACCTGAGCGCCGTGCGGCGCCTGTCCCTGGAGGCGCTCAACGCCTCCGAGTCGGACCAGGATCCCTTCAGCGTGATCTTGTTTTGAAGTATAATATAATAGCAGCACTACTTTTTGAGTTCTTCCGTTCCCCCCCCCCTGTGAGCTTTTTAGTTTTTCATGTGTTTGTTTCTGTTCTTTTCGTGGGCCGCGAAAACCAAGTTTGCTCAGGTGGCAAGGGTTGGAGAGTTCCATGGGCATGGCTCGCTTTGAGGCTCCTTTGCTCAGACAAAACCCATGTATCCTACTAAGGACCCGTTTGAAATTCATTTTCCCCTTGGTCAGGGCTCATGCGGTTTTTCCAACGTCAGACCGATCGTTTCTTGCCTCCCATATGGGTGTGGCTCAAAATTAAACGGGGGGGGGGGGGGGGCAAACCGCAGGCTTTGGTCCATGTTTCCACTTACCGATCGGGTTCCATTTCGGAATTCCGGTCTTTTGAGCCGCAGCAAATTTTGTTTACCTCATCGAAGAACGTCAACTGATGCGAAGCTGCCAGGTAGAAGATCTACGGCAGGACAGGCCTTTCGTGTATTTGGTTTGCTTCGCCCGAGCCTTGGGTGAGAGATGGCAGACCCGTTTCGGTCATCCCGGATATCCCCCTAACCCGTTCGTTGGCCCAAAAACCCACGCCTGGCTGTGGGTCAAGACCTTTTATTTCCTGGTGAACACCAAAATGGGTGGCAAATGGATGTTCATCCACCCCAAAATGGAGCCATAGGTTTATTCCCCACACGCTGATCGCTTGGGATGGATGAAGCCCCGCGATTTAAATACGGGGATAAACCGCCCAAAGGGCGCGAAGCGGACTGCGCACATCCAGAGCAGGCCCCAGTCCTCAGCTAAGACGAAGATCGCGCAAAGACCATTCGGGGGCTTCAAACTAGCGGTTCACCCTGTGAAGAACACGTTCTGATTGTTCCCATTTGGGAGTTGTGTGATTTGGGTCCGAAAACACACAAAGACGCCCGACGATGGTGAGTTTTCGCTTCAAGCGTGGAAACATCTAGCTCTTTGGTACTTTTGACGCAGCCTTAAATGGCCCGCTATGGGTGTGTAACAGCATATACAACAAATAAGTCTTAACGGCCAAATCCAGCTCTCAAGCGGCGGGGTTTATTGAGAACTCCTGCGCGTGCCTGACAAAAACGCAGGACCGGCGGGAGCTGGTGAACATGATCGAGGACGAGCGCAAGCGGGACGCAGGACGCGAGAAGTTATGTTTGCTTGGCGGGTGTATCTTTGAGCCGACGCCCGAGCCGAGACCCATCGCATCCTGCGCAGCCAGTGGCACGGAAGAGCTGGGGATGCATTCGGGATGGCAAAATGAGAGGTATCATGGGAGGCGCAAAACCGTGGGGCCAAGGGAACCAAGCAGTTGGGGTCACCCATTCACTTTGTAAGGGATTGGCCGCTGACCACCCATCCAAAAGCAGAATTTTCCAAAGCCGAGAAAGGACGATCCCATTGGTGGCATTGTTTGTTTGCTTCCGTGGCGCAGGAGAGTGGAGCATCTTCAAGGCAGGAAGTGTGTCTTGAGTACATAATTGTGGATCCTTGCGTGTGTGCATTGAGTCCCGGACAGATTCTAGCCTGAGTTGTTTGTGTTCGTGCGTGTGCGTGTGCGTGTGCGTGTGCATGTGTGTGTGTGCGTGTGCCCTTGGGAGCCTTGAGGGGACGTTGGGTCTTTGGGACCGGTTTGCAGACGGGTCCAAACCGTGCTGGTGGCCTGTAGGGGGTCTACTGCCCGATTAATATGTTTGTTTAATACTCATATAAATATATACATCGTGATAGCAGTAATGATAACAGTTTACATAACATGTAATTATGATAATAGTAATAATCATAACACGATTAGCAATGAGCATAATGTAATAGTCATAATATTCGTGATAATAATCATAGCAGCAAAACCAATGACATAATAATCAGCATGATAATCATCGTACCAATTTACTCATAATCATTGTGCTGCCTGTCGGCCATTTCGAGCAAGGGGAAGGGATAACTCAGAAGAAAGACGCAAGCTGGAGAAAGCGATGCCGGGGCTCCGAGCAGTGCAGGCGGCAGTATAAAGTGGGTGCACTTCGGTCCGGCCGCGCATGCGTCGCAAGGGATAGGGAGTGTGCGGCTTGGGCCTAAGGCCCCAAGAACTAGGCACCGGCGTTAGGAGCGCGCAAGAGCGAGGAGCAGCGCCATCCGACCTCTCAAAACCATGCAGCTTTGCACTGAAGCTGTCCCTATTGGCTGTGCGCAGCTTTCGGTGTCACTTTTCAGCTTTTGGAGCCACTTTGCAACCTGCGAGCAGAGTTGAGCGGGTGCACTTGAGGAGGCGCGCCGTTTGTGTCGGAACACGCGGCCGCACTAATTTCGAAAGAGAGCCAGTTGCGGTTTTGCTTGGAAGCATTGTGTGAATCGCGTGGCAACTCGCCCCGCCAAACAGGTTAGTCAGCGCAAAGCTTAGTCGGGCTTCTTAAAAGATACATTTTCCCCCTTTATTGAAACATGGCTTTTTCAACACCAAAATAAAGGGATGCCACCATTTGCAAGTTGCAATGTTCAGGTGTAAAATGCATCCGGATCCTTGTATAATGTAAGGATCCCTGTGTAAGGATCCCTGCTTCATCGGGCGGCTTTGTTTTGGTACCGGGGGCCCTGGTTTCACCGGGGAAGCCACGCCCAGAAGCCCCCGGCGCGAGGCCTTCGGGGGCTGCAAGGCGCCCTCGGAGACGGCCCCCAGCCGGGTGGAGGAGAGGGACCCAGTGGCGAGGAAGCGGAGACGAAGCAGTCGAAGCAAGCGTATGGCGCCAAGAACAAAGAAATCAAAAAACTGACAACAAGCAAACACAAAGAAGCAACGGCAGCAGGCAAAGGTGCGGAACAAGAGCAAAAACAGCAAGTACAGCGCACAAGTAGACACACAACGCAGACAACAAACCCAAACACACGCACACAGCCACAAACACAAAAACGAACAACACGAGCAGGTCGTTCGCTCACGCACAGGCCTGCGCCAAATTTGCCTCAAGCGACCATAGAGCTATGGCCAGGGGGGCAGTGGAAGGTTTGGTTGTGAACGCCCTGGTTTTTCGATTGCCCTTTGCGATGTCCACAACAGCATATGTCCACTGGCGCTTACATGGGTGTGCGGTTTTTGGGACATCACGTTTTGGTTGATAAAGGCAAACCAAACGGAACCCAGCAAGTTCTGCGGGCGGGTGCGCTGAAAAAGATGGTGAAACTGCAAGGTCTTGGTTTCGTTTTTCACAGGGCCGTTCAAAGGGCCGAATGGGAACTACCTAAAAGGAAGCCAGTTTCTTAAACCGAGATCCAGTTCGGGGATCGAGATTCCCCTTAAAGGACAGACCCACTTGGAGTAGCACCCTTGACATCCCGATGGTTCGGCTACCTGGTTTCACAAAGGCTAAAGCAAGGACTGCAACACTTTATAATCATCTTAGTAGAGCCAAAAACCAATGGGTGAAACGAGCGCTGTTCATTTGGGCAATATGTTAAGAACACCTTTTTGGATAGAAAAGGGAACCCCAGAACAGATCATTTTCCCAAGGAGACACACCCAAACGGTGTGTCAAAATCACCGAGTCATTTTCGCTTTGGCTCGTTTTCGCGTGTGAGCCAGGACCCAGTGCAACGCCATCCTCCTCCAGTGACGGTGGAGGCCCTGTTTTGGATAGACTCCGTTGAACAGGTCTCGGGAACTGAGCGCGTCCCTCCAACTCGATTTTTGGGTCACCAGTTTGGAGTGCGGCATTTTGGCCAGTGGCAGCTGATGTGGTTTCCTGCTGCCCTGATCACGAACCCCGAGTCAAAACCCGACAGAGCTCCCCCAAACAGCAGGCCATGCATCCCGATCCTTTATGGCTCAACCTGTGAATCAGCCTTTTTATCATTTTTGTGTGTGCCAGGAAAGCATAAAACAAGGTGACCTGGTTCTGGGAAGAGACAGCTCCTTGGGCCTCAGCCTGAAAGGCGCATGAAGGACGTTTGAAGGTGATATGATACATATCAGTTTTGCATCTTTCTATCTTGTTCTCTGCCATATTCTGTTCTCCAATGCTTACAGCTGTCTTAATCCTAGCCCTTCCTTACTTCTTTTCTCTTGGCTGCCAAGTGATGCAGCGAGCAGAAGGAAGAGAGGAACATGTCATGGTTTCTTTTATCCATTTTGTGGACACACCTTTCGAATGTCATTGGATTTTTATGACTTCATGTGTTTATAGATCTTGTCTTCAGTTTTCGCGTTTGCAATCATCGGCACGCATGACAAGCATTGAATGGGGTTCCTCTTTTGGATGGTGCTGTTTTTCATTGTCTCCCTCTTAGAACCAGCCAGACAGATCCAGAAAGCCAAACATTTGCTAAGGCACATGGGTCGAGTGGTCCCCCACTAGAACTCAACCATTGAGTAGGGTAACCCCTGTTCGGATGGTGTCTGTAAGGGGACCCCACAAAGAAACGACACCCATTTGCTCGTAGCACGGGCTTTCTGGATGGTAAAGGGGAAGCCCGAAGCCCAGAAACCACATGGCTGTGGGTCAAAACCGTTTTGGTACCGTTCACCACTCATTTTAGTCTATTTTAGTGGGGTTTGGGATGTTGACTGGGGGTACGGGATTTTGACCCATGGCCACATGTTGAAGGCGTGGGGAAACCAAGCATATGTTTAGGGGAAGCCAAGAAACAAAACAAGTCTTATTCCCCAACCGCTGGAGGTTTTGGGGTCTCTGTCCAAATCGGACACCAAACAGTCCGCTTCCTTCCTTCTTGGCGGTTGGATTGGTGGCTTGGTGGTGCTCCGGAGGGTTTCCCATTTACCCTCAAGAATGGGTTCAACTCAGTATCTCCCAATCATCCAAGAACCAATCCAAGGGGTTGCCTGACATCTCTTTTCAACCACGCGAATGACCACCTTGGTTTGGTGTTGAAGCAGGGGTTTCCCATAGACCCGCCGATGTGGCTGTGGGTCAAAACCAATGGTGCCATTTGGGGTAGCTGCACCACCCATGTTAGTCTATTTTAGTGGGGATTGGGATGTTCACTGGGGGTACGATTTGTGATCCATGGCCATGTGAAGGACACCGAAAAAAGCAGCGCATCCGCGTCCGATCCGAGAGGACCTGGAGCTGCTGCGCTCCAAGCAGCGCCAGGAGGGCCTGGAGCTACGGAGCCAGCAGCGGAGCTTCTTCGACGAGGCCCGCGTGCGTCGCGTTCCTTTGGCGCGTTTGTTCGGCGCGCGTGCGCGGGCCGCGTTCGTGGTCGGCGTCGTGTCGTTGGCTGGAGATGTTGAGAGATTACCTGCTGGTGGGGGGGGGGGGTGGGATTAGGTGAGGTGGGGTGTGGGTTGGCGGGGGGGGGGGGTCGGGGTTGGTGGGGGGTGGGGTGGAGCGGTGCAGGTTCTGCAGCAGCAGGCTGCCAACCAGCAGCAGGTCTCTAGCGACCTGGAGGCCGAGAGTTTTGGTCAGCCGAGTGGCGGCGGTGGGGGGGGGGGGATGGCTTGGATGAAAAATGGGGTTGACTCGTCTTTTTGAAGGTTGGACCACCTAAAAGATCGTGATTTTCCCATGTGTTTCTTTGTTATTTTAACAAGAAACATATGGTTCCCCTGTAAAAGACACACCCAATGGGGCATTATATGGCCGCGTGCAACGGTTTGTCTGGCTTAAAGCACCGCAACGTTCGCGGTCCATTTTAAAGGGAACTGGGACGCCAGTTCCCGTACCTGCTGGTGGAATGTCCTTTTGCTCCTCACCCCCTGAATTGCTGTGCGTGTTTCCCCCTTTTGAAGTACTAGAGTGAAGCTTGTTTTCCTGTTGTCACCGGCGTGCCGCGCTGTTCCTTTGAACGCAAACTCAGTTTTCTTCCCAACCACTACCTGCGCCTCTCTCCAGGGGTGACGTGTGTGTTTATTGCGTGTGTGTGTGTGTGTGTGTGTGTGTGTGTGTGTGTGTGTGTGTGTGTGTGTGTGTGTGTGTGTGTGTGTGTGTGTGTGTGTGTGTGTGTGTGTGTGTGTGTGTGCGTGTTTTCTTTTTCGGGTTCACCTTTTCTTTTTCTCGTCTCGTGTCCCCAGGGGCGCCGGGCGCTTTTTTAACGCTTGAGAGGCGGTGCGCAGCCACTGCAACGCAGCCATCGCGGGCTTCCACAGCCACCAGACGAGCGCATTGGAGGCGCCGAGGGTTCCACAGCGGCTGAATTCCGCAGCTCAATCCCACCGCTGGGATGGGTGAAGCCCTAAACTAGGTCCCCCAGCTAGGTGCCCTTTTACCGTTTCTTTTTTTGTTGGGAGGGCTCCCCTGCTAAATTAGACTGCAGAAAAATAGCCTCTCTACTGGAGGACCTAGCCTAAACAGTGATACCAACTCAGGGTTTCCTTCTGCAGTGATCTTTCCATGTGGGTTTCCCTTTCCTCACTCCCTTGGTTGACCTCAGGCCTTTGGTCGGCCTCGGATTTTGTTTGCCATGTTGGTAGGTCCGCTTTCTGGTTTTACAAGGGTTATAGTGGGTGTTTCTCGGAGAGCAGATTGTGGACAAGCCTCGCAGTGCACAGTTCGGCTTTGAACCCGTTCCCCGGGTTCCCTTCTTGGGCCTCTCTCAAAATATGGTTTCGGGCCCACACATCGTGGTTTTCCCTTTGGCTTCCCATGAGAACTCATCTGAAACGGGCATCTCCCAAAACCACAGCCGCCTCTACCCACTGCAGTTTCCAACTGTCCTGCGGTTTCCATGGGTTTCCCGCAGATTTCCCTTTTCCACTGGCTTCCTGCAAGTTTCCCGACGCGCGTTTCCTCCACAAAGTTCCCCACGGGTTTCCACAGTTTGCCCCACAAGCGGCGGCCCCTCAAAGCTCTCGGCCCCTCAACGCCGGGTCCCTCTTTCAGCCAGGTATTGCAAAAGCAGCAGCGCCGCATGCAGCAGATCCAGGCCAGGTTGAGGGGTGACCAGCTGGTGCTTGCTTGCTTGCTTGCTTGCTTGCTTGCTTGCTTGCTTGCTTGCTTGCTTGCTTGCTTGCTTGCTTGCTTGCTTGCTTGCTTGCTTGCTTGCTTGCTTGCTTGCTTGCTTGCTTGCTTGCTTGCTTGCTTGCTTGCTTGCTTGCTTGCTTGCTTGCTTGCTTGCTTGCTTGCTTGCTTGCTTGCTTGCTTGCTTGCTTGCTTGCTTGCTTGCTTGCCTGCCTGCTGCCTGCCTGCCTGCCTGCCTGCCTGCCTGCCTGCCTGCCTGCCTGCCTGCCTGCCTGCCTGCCTGCCTGCCTGCCTGCCTGCCTGCCTGCCTGCCTGCCTGCCTGCCTGCCTGCCTGCCTGCCTGCCTGCCTGCCTGCCTGCCTGCCTGCCTGCCTGCCTGCCTGCCTGCCTGCCTGCCTGCCTTGCTTGCTTGCTTGCTTGCTTGCTTGCTTGCTTGCTTGCTTGCTTGCTTGCTTGGTTTGTTTGTTTGTTTGTTTGTTTGTTTGTTTGTTTGTTTGTTTGTTTGTTTGTTTGTGTGTTTCTTTGTTTGTTTGTTTGTTTGCTTTTTGTTTGTTTGTTTGTTACTGAGTGAGTGAGTGAGTGAGTGAGTGAGTGAGTGAGTGAGTGAGTGAGTGAGTGAGTGAGTGAGTGAGTGAGTGAGTGAGTGAGTGAGTGAGTGAGTGAGTGAGTGAGTGAGTGAGAGTGAGTGAGTGAGTGAGTGAGTGAGTGAGTGAGTGAGTGAGTGAGTGAGTGAGTGAGTGAGTGAGTGAGTGAGTGAGTGAGTGAGTGAGTGAGTGAGTGAGTGAGTGAGTGAGTGAGTGAGTGAGTGCGGGTGGGTGAGCGAGTTGTTTTAAGTTTATGTTTGTTGTTTGTTGTCCTCTTGTTTTATGTTTCATTTTCAACAGTTAGTTAGTTGGTTTGTTGGTGTGTTTGTTTGTTTGCTTGTTTGTTTGCTTGTGTGTTTGTTTGTTTGCTTGCTTGCTTGCTTGTTTGCTTCTGTTTGTTGCTTACTTCGTTAGTTTGTTTGTTACATGGTTAAACTGTTACTCACGTTCTTACTTTCAAGCCAGCTAGCTAGTTAGTTGGTTGGTTAGTTAGTAGTTAGTCATTTAGCTAGCTAGTCAGTCAGTCAGTCAGTCAGTCAATCAGTCAGTCAGTCAGTCAGTCAGTTAGTTAGTTGCCAACACTGCCGTCCGACGCTTGGTTGTTTTGTGCAGTTTCAGTTGTTTTTTTCTTCGGGCTGGTCGCTGTCTTTACGGATGAGCATGAACACCCTCGTGAGAATAAACACGCTCGCGCATCCACAACCGCTGCGCCCGTGCAATAAACACGCTCATGCGCATCCCGAACTGCTGCACACATGCTGGCGCAGAGAAAAACACCACTGCACCCTTGCTGGCGCAAGTGATATTAAGCACGCTCACGCGCATCCACAACTGCTGCGCCCATGCTGGCATAGATGATAATAAACATGCTTACGCACATCCGCAACCGCTGCGCGCATGCGGGCACAGGATAATACAGACGCTCACGCGCATCATGACGGCTCACTTCACCAAAGCACATGGCGACGCAATCAGGACAGATTGCCGACTTTTGGCAAGCATTGGCAATGATCTGCGCATGAAAACAGTTGAGTGTCCTCTGGGATAGCAGGATGTTGCCACAACCCACGCTTGAAGATGCCCTCCCCCCTGGAGCAGCTGACGTTTCTGATTTTGCAGCCCGACGCTTTGGGAGCATGGTGCTTGTGGCAATGTACTTGGCCTCGCCCTGCGTGCAACTGTCCCGACAGACTTGGCTGAAACGAATGAGTTCTTTAAAACTCTGTTTCAGCCGTTTTTGGCAGCATTTGCCGAGTTTTTGGCCAGCGCGGTGAATTGAGAAGGTGCGCCGCTGGTTGGAATCGTGCCAGGAGCCTCACGGCGGCGTGGCCAGTTAGTTGGTTCGTTAGTGAGTTAGTTAGTTGGTTAGTTTGTTTGTTAGTTAGTCAGTCAGTTAGTTAGTTGGTTAGTTGGTTGTTTGGTTGGCTGGTTGGTTGGTTGGTTGGCTACCTTCTTAGCTAGTGCTTGTTTGTTTCTTTGCTTCTGCGTCTCTCTGTCTGTCTGTCTGTCTGGAGCCCCGCCTCGAAGCCCATGGAGTGACAGCAGACGCCGCCTCCGATCTTTGCCGAGCCTCGCCTCTGGTGAGGGGCAGCTCATGGGCGACGTGGGGTCCATGAAGAGTCAGCTGGTGGAGTCCCTGCGCGCCCAGCGCGTTGCTCTCGCCGCGCCGATGGCCAGGACGGGGCTGGATGGGGCTGGAGGGGCTTGGAGGGCGGGGGAAACCCGATCCATGGGGGCTTCTCCTGGCAGTTTGTTGTTTCTTTCAGTTTTTTTTTTTTTTAAAGGGAAACCCAAAGGCAAGCCGTCATTTTGGGGGGTCCCCCCAAAGAAAGACGGCTCTTATTGTTGGTAAAGGGAAGGCCAAGGAAACAATTTTGAGGGGACCCCGGAAGTTTCCTCAAGGTTTGGGTGGTTCCCCGCATTTGGGAACTTGCTTTTCGGGAACCGTCCCCGTTTTCTGGAACCCCGTTTTGAAACCGGGTTCCCTTCCATTGCTGGACAGGGAAAGTCAGGCTTCCGCAAAGAGACGGACCTGTTGTCTTATGGCTTTGCAAGGAGAGAAGAGTAGACACAGCAGAAGAGGTTGCTCTTTTGCAAAGCACGCCCATATTCATTCGCCATTTGCCAGAAGAGTAGGGAATGACCGTTCCGGGTGCTGGGAATGAACCGAGATTCCCTTAAAGGAAGCCAGAAGGGGATGGTTTATGGGGGTTCCATTTCTCCTTCCCTGCCTATCAATATTTTTTGTGCCGCAACAGAGCTAGAGGTATCCTCTCAGGTCTGATGTTTTGATGGGAAAAGAGCCCACAGTTTTTCTTGACAAGTTTGGGCGCGAGTCTTTTGGGTTTTGGACCGGTGGCAACCGACGGCTGGGCCTGGCACGCTTGAAAGTGTAGGGCTTCTCTTGGCAATTCTTTCCAACTTACCTGAGCTGGCAAGCTTCAAGCTTTGTTTTTATACCTTCTTCACAGTGGCCCAAAGAATGAAAGTACGAAACTCTTTTCGCCGAAAGGACCTGGCGACCGTTGGTCGTTTTGTCTGGACACGCTGAAGGAGCAACTCATGTTTCGAACCGAACGCGCCCCTTTTCCGAAAGAGAAGACGCTGTTGAAAAGGCGCAAGGATCCAAAACCCCAAAACGGGGGGGTTTCCCCTTTGGCCTTTCACCCCAAAGGCACCAAAGGACACACCCTTTTTGGAGGATATCATTTGTTCGGTTTCAAAGGGACACCCACTCCTTATGTTGGCTTTCTATCGGATTTGTCCCCATGGGCCTTAGGCGATTGGCCAAAAGAAGGCTCAAGCCTGCGAAGTTTCGCTGTTTTGAGCGGCTGAAATCAACGCAGAGGTTTAAACTGTTGAAGCCCTTTCTCCATTTTGTTCACCAGAGATTTGAACGTGAACCCCGCCGAAAACTCCATCTGCCTGTTCAGATGTGGTTCGGAGCAAAACTCAGATGAGGTTCTGGACGGGTGAACCCGGGCGGTTGATACCTGAACTTAGATTTGTTGGGTCAAACAAGAGAAGGATAGCTCGAATAGAACAGCCTTGATCAGAATCAAAAGGAAACAAATGGATAGAACTTCTCAAACCGGCTTCCTTAGCACTTCCATGATTTTTGGACAGAGGTCATTCATCTGGGGTTGCCATGAGTGGTTCCAGGGCTACCTTTTTCCATTCTTTCCAGGGATCCGAATCTTTCCCGAAAACCATCAGAAACCCCAGGGGAAACGGATCCGGTTTTTGACATCAACCCCTTGGGTGTCCTCCCACGCGAGCGTCCAATGTGCATGCCAGGACTGAAGTGGCAGAAGTGACCGTGTAGACATCGCCGAGATCGATGCTGGAGACGCTGGATCGATAGGGTTCGAGAAATTTGTTAGCGTGCAGTTCTGAGATCGAGCGGTTTTTTTGTAAGACTGTGCATAGTTTCGGATGTGTGGACATTCGGCTTGGGTCTGCCCCGATTGACACAGAGATTCCCAGCCGGATAGCTTGTATGACCGCCATGTCAGGAATTGCAGTAACCAACTTATCGAGCCCATGGCGCCTTTGGCAGGGTCCGGCAATGGAAGGCTTGGACAAAGTCAGGCGAGCTCGCGCCCAAAGCAAAGTGTTCCCGTACGGGGAGGGTAGTTTCTTCTCGCACTCTTTGTTGCTTTGTTCACTTGCTTCCTGACTTTGTTCTTGGTCACAAGCAAAACTGAGCGGGCCCCAATCCAACGAAACAAACACCGGGCACTCAACTTCTATCATTCTGTGCGGCGGATTTCCTAAACATCGCAAGGAGGCATCCAGGAGATCCCCTGAAGTTAGCATGGTTTGTGATTGATGTCACAGCCATGTTAGGGAGTCGACCATATTTCCCCCGAGCGGGGCGGCTGCAAAAATACGCGGCTGGCAGGACAAAGTTTCCACGCCTGCACTAAGCCAGGCAAAAGAAGCCAAAAATATGCACCGGGCTTGGGGACCAGGGCTTGGGACAGAGCTCCTTTCTTGAACATGAAGGGATTGGCCCCGTTCCAGTGGGTTCTAATCATTCAACGGGTTCTGATTGCTTGCGCCAAAAAGGACGTGTGCTTTCTTCCCCGCTCGGATCTCGGAACCCATGTAGAGACACCCCCGTTTTTGGGGTCAGCCGACTGCCAATGTGTGCTTTTTCCCGAGAAATCGTCGGTTCTCTGTGGCTGTCCTGGTTCAAATCAAGCAATGAAGGCACCCCTAGGCTAGGAATTATTCAAGCCAGCATTGCCTTAACGGCTGACATCAAGTGTTGGATTTGTAGAATTCCTGTGCCACGTTCCACAAGGATGCAGGGTCGGCCGAAATGTCCACTTCCGATAGAGTCAACCCCCTCTGGAAGAATCAGGCGTGACTCCCCCTTCAGTGATGAAATGATCCAAAGGGCTGGCCATGAAGGGAAGCTGCATGCTCGCCCTAAAGCTTATAGCCGTGAAAAGGGCGGGCCTTTTTGTTTGGACTGTCTTGCTGGCCAGCAAGAGGTGCTGTCGGGTCAGTGAATCCACTGGATTATGCGATTCAACTGAGCGCTCCAAGGCGATCTACCAGAAGTGCACTGCCCGTAAGGGTCTCGTCTGTCCACCAGATTTGCCCGAGACTGAGTCACGTGAGCGCGATGTGCAGGCTGATTGACAACCAGGCTAGCAGATGACTGTTGGGTGTGTTGACATTGCAAAAAGAGCATCGAATCATTGGGTGACACTTCCTAGGGCGCGTCTTGTTCTCGGCAAAATCCGTTATTGGGTGACATCCCTGAATGACAGAGGGGTTCTCATCAGGGTCAAACCTTGGACCCTCACTGCTCACGGCCAGGTCTCACAATGCCAACATCACGCAAGGCAGTGGGCAAAAACTCACTCCCTGAGTTGCCGAAGTTTCAACTTTTCTGGGAAGACCATTTTAAAGGTAAATAGAAACAATCCACTCCGGAAGCGAGAAAAGATGAGATCACTCGACCGTTCAGAGAGAAGGCCATGGTCCTACAAATCGGCCCAGTTCCAGACCTCCTGGGGCTGAAGCCAATAAGTTCATGGCAGCGGACCATTCATTCAGTCAAGGGAGCTCTGGCCATGCGCCGGACGGTTTGCTCGTTTGGGGCGAGGGATGTTTGGATCCTTTTGCTTTTAAGGTAGGCGACCAGGAAGCAGAGGAGTTCGGGTAGCGCAGCAGAACTCGAGAAAAGAGACGCCACTTCCCCACATTCTAGGGCACCCAGCAAGGGGGCCCTGTCTCACCCCTTTTTTTGTTGGAAGGGTTCTCCTACTAAAACAGACTGTAGAAAAAAGTTGGTACCCTTATTCTAACCTCTCTACTGGAGCACCTAGCATTGCTGGCCCGCTGCCCGAGACCACCAATGATGATGGCTGACATGTGCAAAAGTTTCTCGGGATCCTTCCATCATGGGTGACGCCGAGCCACAAAGCAATGGCTAAATCAGAAGGCTAGGAACAGGGTACGTACAAGCTTGAAATCATTGGAATGGAGTAGGGTATCCGAAAACCACATGTCATGGAAATTCGTGGGAAGATTTTTGTTTTAAAATAATCATCTCTTTGTTGGGTTCTTTTGGTTCCCACCAGCCACATTTCTACTCTTGCTCATGGTGTTACGAGGGGGCCGCCAGCCTCATATGAAAATTACCCTCGACTCTATATAGATGGTGATTGGGAAACCCTCAAAATCTCACTCCAAGTGATCCAGTTTCTCAAACTCACCTGCTGAGAGATTTTTCCCGTGCTGGCAGAATCGCTTGAGCGAACTGATGACCTATGCTGCTGGAAGCATTCGACTTCCCGCCTCTCACGTTTCGCTGTTCAGATCATTGGGCCGAATCTTCGAGGACTCTCTCAAGCTCGACCATGAAACAGAATCAGGAGAAAGTCGGCGGCCCCCTGGCGGTTTTCTGTTCAATTGTTAGTCAAAGTCCCGACAGTTGTCGGACCAGCCCAGATGAATTCAGCCGTAGTCGCGCCAAGAACTCCAAGCAACTGGGTGTGTCTGTCTTTTAAGGGTACCCCCCCTTTATGTGGTTTTAAAGGGACATCAAAAGGACACACTCCACCGTTTTCTCTTTGTTGCATTTTGCTTGGAGGTTAGGACTTCAACTTTTTGCTTGGCCACTTTTAGCAGGGCTTCGCAGAAAGGGTACTGAGTCCTCGCACGCGGTTTGTTTAATTGAGGGAGCCAAAGCCAGCCGCCGCGGCAGATCTCTCCATCTTTGTGATGCCGATGCTGCAGTTCTTCAACCTGCCCGAGTGTTGCTTCGACGAGCTGGAGGCGAGCGGGGCGGGCGAACGGTCGCGCCAGCGATTGAAGGTCCTCGAAACGGCGTTCATATGGCATATATATATATATTGTATGGACGAAATCCGTTCGCCCCGCGATGAACTTCCATTTGCTTAAGATGTTTTTCCCTGTTGGTTTTAAAGGGAATGTATCACTACTGGAAATATTTTTAATCATTCCAGGGGCCTTAACCAAATCGAAGTGAAGGTCCTCGGAACGGCGTTCATATCGCGTATATACACATACTGTGGACGGACGAACACCTGCACCACTTTGAAACCATGGTTGAAACTCTTGTTGGTATACCAGGGTTTCTCAGGTGGTGCCGAAATGGATTTCGTGCATCCACAGCATGGCTGTGGGTCATGGAGCCAAGGACTGAAGGTTGCGGTCTGACCCATGGCCCATATGGGTGTGACTCTTTTTTTGAGGGTACGCAATTTCTTGGTGGTTTTAGAGGAAGCCGACAGGACAACCATCATTTTGGGGGGTACCCCAAAGAAAGACCCACCCATATGCCGGTCATGTTGTTGCGTGACTTAGTGACCTGTTTCTGAAGTGATTGACCTGCATGTGACAGCGCGGCACCGTTGTTTTCCTGTCCAGGGCAAATTGTATCAATATATGGGCTCAAGGCCTTCATGGACCACGGCCAAGGCGAAGTGTATGACTGACTGTACAAGCAAGCTTGTACTTTCACATGTGTCCTCGGCTTATGCACAATGTTGTGCATCAGCTTAATGCTGTTCTGTACCATGTGCTGTGTCTACCATGATCACTTTCGAGTTCAAAAGCTCTGTACATTGTTCAGATGGCTGCTGCAAGGTCGACCCCCACACAACTCCACAGATTGTGCAAGCCACACGACCGCAAATGGCGGCACGTTTCCGAGACCGTTCCCAAATGCGTTCCGAGACTGATTCTGTGATCCGTCAGATGCTGCGACCGAGGAGCTTTCTATGCCTGCAGAAAAGGCGAATACGGCCTGCTTTTCTGCCCGTTACTACCACACCACCGCGCAAGTTGTTTTGTCGTTTTTCTCTTCCTGTCTTCACGGGCACAGCGCAACTCAATCATTGCTGAAATCAACCTTTGACCACCAGAGTTCAGCGAGTTCTCTGCGCATTTTTTCCTGCCCCCGATGCTCAGGTGCCAGAGTGGGTCTACAAGTCCAGTTCGCCTCTCAAGGCGCGGCGCGTTCTTGAATTGGGTGGCCCCAAACGCACTGTCGGAAGTGGGTCACCCGAAATTTGGTGGCCAGGTGACCCTTAAAGTCCATTGCCTCACCCCCAAAAAGTCCAGGAATAGGTGTTTCCAAAGCGGCAAATCGACTTGCACGTACTGTTTGCTCTTGTTTGTGCTTGGTTGACCAGGGTCCCACAACGAATCCAACCAAAAAACGGCACATATATCAAATGTCCCTCTGACAGCTGGTGCGCATTTGAATTGCATCCCAGGAACCCGTTGACTTGGGGAAAGGTTTGCGAACATCCACCAGGGTCCGTGTGACGCACAGGTGACGGGTGCGGGCGTGAGGCCCAGCCGCGCCGGGCCGCACTTTCCTAGTTCCGGAGATTCTGTGGGTGTGTGCTGAAGCTTCCCTTGGAACTTAAACGACCCCAAAAATGGTAGCCTCACTCCAAACACGCACACCCACACAAATCAGTGGGAGGGGGGAGGCATTTTCGAGGCAGTCCTGTTGTTTTTTGGCCAGCGTTGGGAATCCCAATCTTTGAGAACTCCTGGTCTGAAAGTACTGTGGATGGAACAAATCCTCCTCCAGTTGGGATGGAACAAACCACCTACTGACTGCAGGATTTTGGTCCAAGGGGCACACCTGCGTTGATCACCGTCTGGCACTGGCAATCACTGGCGGTCATGTGAGCGCATGCTGCCAGTCACATAGGATATGGGCCCTCGAATGGTGGGTTTCCTTTGGCTTCCTTTGCTTGTTGGAAGCAACCCACAAGGAGTTCTCATCTAGAACGGAAACGCTGGGGCTTTCCAACTTTTCCATTG